TCGTATTGGCACTGCTTAATTTAGCTTTAAATCTCGTGGCTCTGGTGCTTTTTCTTAATCGTTTTTCCTCAACTGCATTATTTTTATTTTCGCCCGCTGTTTCTTTATTATCTTTTTCTTTACTTGTCTTAATTTTATTATCCTCATTGATCTCCACAATTTTGTTTTCTAGAAGCTCTTTATCTTTGCTTTCGCGTAATTGAAAACAATCTTGACAGATTTGCCCTTGGTCGGCCGTACGCCAGAGCAGAGACTCCACATTTTTACAAACAATACAAACTGGATTTGACTTGGGCATTAATTGTGTTGTTTCTGTGGTGTTGTTAATAATTAAATAATAAACCTCTCTCAAATTTTTTTCCACAAATTTTGTAAAACAACTTTGTATACAAACAACTTGCTTTGATCAACCAATTGTTTTGTTTTACACCAACAAACAGCCGACGACATGTGTCGCACAATTGCATTTAAACAAAAAAAATACTGAGTGTAACCCTGTTGGAAATTGCAAAGGGTTTATTTACAAAATGAAAACATTTTTCTATTATCTATGTCTGACGTGTAGTTGTGCCTCAGTTAGGGCATAGAAATAAAAGTTATTTATGGTAAAAGGCTTTATAGAGGGCTTTAGTGAAGGCCATTAGGATTAGCTTAGGAATAAAAACATTTATACGATTGATGAATGCTATTTAAGATCATTTAATATGCTCGGTTCTCGACTAATATTAAAGTTGAGATTCCTATAAATAAGGTTATTCAGGTTATTCAGTGACTTTACGGCAGACTGCATACGGAGAAAAAAACATGAATATCAGTAAATTTTAAGTTGGCAACACTGTGGATTGTTCTGCCGCTAACCTTTAATAAATAAAACATTGTAAATAAAAAGGTTTAATTGATTTATACAATTACTTTTGGAGCTGTAGAATTATTAACAAACCTTGCATAAATCTTATGGCTGATAAACAGAAAGTAAGAGATTTATCATTAAAGATAGTCGTACTTGTCATATTCACGCATGCATTTAGTCAGGTAGTAATGATGGCAAAGAGAAGCGACGGAAAGAATCTATACTGGACTTATCCAAATATTTGGAAAAACAAATTCGCGTAAAATTTGCTGGTGGCCGTGAAGCTTCGGGAGTTCTAAAAGGTTATGATGCCCTGCTAAATTTGGTGTTGGACAATACCATCGAATATTTACGAGACCCCGATGAGCCGTTTAAACCTTCAGAAGAGACGCGTAATTTGGGACTAGTAGTTTGTCGCGGTACAGCTTTAGTATTAATATGTCCGCAAGATGGTGTGGAAGCCATACCCAATCCCTTTATAACGCAGTAACTTGAATTCCGGTATTCACCTTTTAATTTAAAGAAGAAAGAGTGTTTTTAATAGTTTATTTATCAAATAATAAAAGTAAAACTTTCCATAGTAATTAACCTTAAATGAAACGTGATTAAATAGGTGATGAATGGATTAACGACGAATGGGTTAACTAAGCCTATTTTTTTTAATCTAAACCGAACTCATTACGTATCCAAGGATATTGCGCCGGGCACTCTTTGCACGTGTGAAAATAACGATCTTGTTGCAGGACCCGACTGCGTAACTTGCAAGTGTTCGCTATTTGACAAGCGAGCTCATGGGGCTCCAACTTTTTTGGCTTACAATTCCAGGATTCAATCTGATGCAGTTGATTGCTAGCTATTGGATGTCTCATCCACTGTATGGCTTGTTGATTAGTTACAAAATAAACGTCCGGAAATTTTTTTAAATCATCCAGAAATTTCTGTAAAATATAAGCATTCAATGATGAAATGAAAAGCATCATGAACTTTGTTCACTTACTAGGAAAGCGTTTAAATATTCTGTTTTCTTAAACCAAAGGGCATGAAAGTATAACCCAAACGGCGCGCGATTGCTCAAATAATGGCGTTTAAAATTGTGGGTTAGCATACGATAAATATCGTCTCCATTTAAATAAACGGGACAGTTATCAATCATACTGCAAGTATAATCGCCAAATTCCAATTGATTTATAACTAATTCCCACAAGCCGGAATAACTGCGAGATGGACAATTTTGTTGCATACCGGTGCAAGTATGAGGCATTTTATAATCCAATGTATAAGGCCATAGAGGAGTATTAGAAAAAGGCGCAACCATGGAAGAATCATACACAAAACCAAACTCCTTCATCATTAGAAATTGACGATTCCAACCAACTCTTAAAAAAGGAACACGCATACCCCTAATCTCTTCCATACGTACGCTAGCAAAACGATTTAGTATATTAGCTTGCCCTACCATCTCATCAAACCAATCCTCAATTGTGGCATTCTTTGACCACCAAATCTCTGGACTACGCTGGCTGAAATAAAACCACACAAAGACTATTATCAATTGTAGTTATCGCTTTTATACTGCTTATACTGTTTACGTACGTAACAGACTGCACTGCTACTTCATGACCGTTATTCCAAAGCTTTTGAACGTATTGATAATTTGTGTAAGAATTTGGCACAAAAAATGTAGCTTTAATGGGACAATTGTTAGGATTCCGCCTATTACCCTTAAAAAGAGTTTGTGAAAATAACTCCCAATTTTCAAAGTTCACGGGGCCATCAAATGTTAATAGAATCATTTGGGGCACTGATCGAACATCCAAAAATCCTGGTATGTGAGTACCATCTTTAGAGCAAAAACAATCCGGTAGACGACAATAACGGAGGTCACACGGTCCGGCGGCATTGGGATCGTTTTCAACATCACACCAACCTTCGTCAGAAATATGGCCATTATTCCGCTAAGATGAATGCCCTCAGCCAAAACGTAGGGAGCATAGGTTAACATTAGCATAAAGG